TTTTATCTGCCCCCTGGAATTAATGTTTAGAACCTTGTTCCCAAGGTTTGAAAAACATCCGATTGTTGTCTATTACTCGTATTTACCTGCTGGATTTTTTAATCCGGTGGACAGTCCATCTAGAAAGGCCCTCCTGGATGAAGTTACAGAATCATCAACCCATACTTTACTTGTAGTGTGTCCTGCGTTTACCCACGTTTCATCAAGGTAATAAATCTTCCTGTTTTGATTTCTATATTTCCCAATTTTTGTTAAATAATCCCTCCTCCATAGCACAATTTCTTCTCTATCCAGTAGTAAACTATTACGACCCCGTTTTTTCCATTTGAAATTTAAATGCTTCAGTGACGCATGGAAAGTTGATCGTTTCAAATTTGGCAACGTTGTATCTCCATTTACCTCCTGCAGTACTTTATCTATAGTAGGTATTTCATTCCTAAAGAAGAATTCATGCACTTTCCTCCTAATCGCATGCTTATCAGCTTCATCCAATGATTTAACAATACTTTTGCGATGTTTACTGGTCATTGGCTCAGAAAAGGTGTGATTTTTTTTGTATTGTCTTAACACATTAAGCACTGATGCGCGACACACCCCAACTTTGTGAGAAACCTTCACAACAATTTCTTTGATGGTTGATGCCTCGTTCTCCTCGCGCTCGATCTTATATATATTCAAAATGACCTCTTTCATTTCTGCACTCAGGTGTCTTTTTTTAGAGCGTTTCCTAGGTGGACTACAGGAGTTTACAACTTCATCGGCAGTATCTGTACTACTGGGCATTTTGCGCAAGCAGTTGATAACAATAACAATCAATAACAAGGTATAACAATAACAACGACAAACTCAACAACTTAATAAGATAACAAACGAAAACGTCCAAAGAAATATCAAATTGCAATGATGCACACGACATACGTAACACGTCTGTCTGAACCTGAATGTGACTCTGCCTTGATACGACTGCTCTGCCGCTCTGCATAGGCATTTAATTGCGAATTGACCAATGAGGGCTCCTGTTTTACGTCGAGACGGCGGCGTTAGCGTGAAAATCACCCGAACCTTTTGTTTACATCCGGTCTATCTCTTATCTGAATATACTGTACTAATCTTTGTTAGATATATATTATTTTGATGAATGCCACTTTAAAAAATTTTCCGTTTATCTTAATAACGCAGTTCTGTATTCGTCGCACGCATTTCAATAATTGAGTGAGAAATACTAGGTCAATCTTGACTCATATTTTTTATTTCGTGTCGATCAGTTATCGGAGTAAATATTCCGAGGACGAAATGACGTATAAAAATCGCCTCCTCCATAATGAACAGCGATGTTTATTATGATCACAGTCTTTTCTTGCAACTTTCGCTCGTAACAATGCAGAAGGTAATTGTTTACAATAAGAGTATACGGTGGATTTTATTTATGGACACATTAGCCGTTTTATCGCCCGTATCCACTGCGGCGGACGAACAAATAATTTTGCAGCAGTTTTTACAGCTCCAACGTATTTACATTAAACGTTGAAACACACAATAAGGACTGTAACGTAACAATTAAAGTCAAATGAAAAATTTGCAACCTGCGCTGCTGTCACGTGTTGATTTATAAATGAGAAAAGGTTACACGGTGCTGTATTTTTTTAATGGTCCGGGTAGAAATATGACCTTTGAAAGCGTAATTTCCCTAAAATCTGAACTGTCTTTGATCTTCGGCATCGGCTTCCGCTTCGTCCACATCGGACAAAAATACGCGTTCGGTCTTCGGCTCCAAAAAGCCCAAAAGTTTGTCGGAATGGTGAAGGTTTCGAAAAACTCGCGATTACTTATTACCTACATAAGATTATTTGACTTTATGTTTATATTAGTTTTATATAGTTTTTCAAATCACTTTTATGGTTTTACCAGTTTTACTTTTCTCTTAAAATATCTTTTTAAGTGCGTTACCCTAGCTTTCCTGCCTCTGAATATCCTGCATTTCTAAACAAATTTACCAGAGACATTATTCCGAGATACGAATTCCTCAAATACATTTACGACTAAAATATATTTCCATTCTGCAAATTAAAGTACTTCAATCAAAGGATTTCCATTTCGCGGATTTCGCTAACATCTAAAACCATTTCCATCACATTTTTTTCTTCAACACTCAACGCTCAAGTGTTTACAGGGGTGGGTTTCTACTTCCAGATAAAGGACAATCTTATAGTCAGTTGATATCGACGCAAATAATAACTAAAATTCTAGAGAATTGGTGCATTCTAACATTTATAACAAGTAGTTCCGATTTTCCTTGATTAGACCAATGAAATTTTTACATGTCATGAACCTTGAAACGACGAACAAGAGACCAGTCCATCTAGACGTTGGTTACTTTGCGATTCTTCAATCGTCAGACTTCTGAAGGCACCCACATTACGTAAATTAAAAAGTAATATATCCATTTTTAATGAAGGATGTTTTGAAAAAATGTCACCTTGGAACTTGCTGTCATTCACTTCTTGTTCTATGCTATGCATGTTGCCTAAACGTCATGAAACTTGAGCTATATGGTTTGGCTCTAATGGCAATAGTAGAGGCCATTTATAGCTTCTGACCTGATCTGACATCCATGCATACCGAGCAGACCGTGGGTCTTTAGCTCGTTTTTTTCAAATGAATGCTTTACCTTCATTACTCTGACTCCCAGTAAATCTGCAAGTGACCGCCTCATCCTGTCTGATTGCTTGCAGCTCATTAGAGTGTTCTTTACGAAAGCCGAACAGTGGAAGGATTTCTCCTTATACGGCTCAATTCTATACTATAGGTCGTTGTACCATTTCTCTATAGGTGGCGTTCACTGCGAGTGTGTGGACTAGCCGCTAAATTACATAAGTTGACATTATACCGATTTTGAGTGGCATAGCGATTTTTTACGTAATACTGAGTTTATTAGAGTATGGATACAAAAGGGTGGAATTATAATTTGTGTCATAAGTATATACGTTCCATCCTTCTATTGATTTTAATCATGAAAGTTTTTCAAAGTGTAATACTGCCGTACTTGAGTAAAAGACAGTAAAGTATAAAAATTGAAGTATCAGAAAATTAAGTTCAACATTCTGGATTCTTTCGAACTAATTAAATAGTATTATGACGACACCAGAAAAGTGAGTGAATATTGCAATGTTACATGATTATAGAGTCATAACTGTGGTCGAGGTCTAAAATAAATAACATTCTGTCTTTAATTGTCGTTAAATCAAAAATCAGTAACATATGATTTATTGCTTTTATACTTTCCAAAAATAAATTTACTAGTTTTTTAGTAGGTTTTATGATCTATTGAAATTATTCTTTCAGAGCAAAAAAACAAAATTTTATTTAATTTTATTATAATTTATTCATATTGAAATTCACATAAATGGTAGAACAAAATTAAGTCTTTTCAACATCTAATGATTAAATTCAATAGTTATATAATTAAATTGAAACTACACTCAACAAAAATAGTTACATAAATAAACTAAAAACAGCATGTTTTCTTATTTCGAGTTAAACGAAAAATATTTTTCAATATTATTTTTTCGGACCAAAAGTAATTATTCATAACGAAAAATAATATAATTATTACATAAAAAAACTAAATAAGTAAACATCAGGCAGTATTTGTATAATAGAGAGTATAAATGCAGTATAATTTGACAACCACTGCTTTTTTACTTTGATAAATCGATTTAGTGTTTTTATGCTTAGGAAATCTAATATGAAATATTCGAAAAAAGGAAAAAAAATAATAACTTTTGTTAAATAACGTGATCAATGATATATTTTCCAATTATAATAATAAAAGAATTGTATTGGCATCAAATTTTAAAAAATGCTGTGAATGGACTTTACTGCATTTTACCTAGGTACGGCAGTATTAATCTCATCCTTCTATTGATTGTTGTGGAAAGTTGTTCAAAATATGATAGTGTTAACTACAAAACAAGTCGATACCACTAGAAATATGTTGAATCAGTATTCAGTCGTATACTTATTTCTTTATTTGAATGCCGAAAGCTGTATCACGAATTTGCATCTGGTAACATTTCATGGTACAAGGAATATCACTGATGCTATATTCAAAAGCTGGTTATATCCCTTAGAGCTGAAAAATCTGATTCCGTCGCTGTATTGCAAGTACTGCAAAGCCATAAACCCGCAGTAATGTGAAAAGTCCCGCTGGGAATATGGCCTAGATTTTCTCTCCGGGCTGTATATTTATAAGCAAGTAGGGTCAACAACCAATCCCATTCGCGCACAGCCTGTGATATTTGTACCATATGGGATCATTTCTCGGTTTCTCAGCCCAGACGAATTGCCGTTCGTTTGCAACTGATTTATCATATCGCGTTGATTTATTGGCTCACATTTAGGTGTGATTTACACGTCTACAGGCAGAAGTTTCAGTCTTTTTGGTTTTTGCACGCGAAATGAGGGTACCGGTTGATATAAAATGAGTTTTTGACGAGTTTGGAATGTCTGCAAAACGGTTTTTGCAATTTGAGACGACACTGCACACGGCATGCGGTGGGATCAAGATCATAATAGGATAGCAGTATTAGGTTCTAGGAGATTGGTTATTCTACTAGGTCTTAAAAGGTAAATTTTGTATAAACATAGGCATGCGAGAAACTAGTGATTAAATTTTGAAGTGAAAACAACTAACACTCTGCTAGACAACAACACTACCATACTCATGACCAGTCGTATGGACATGCTTCTGATGATGTGATTTATGTCTTCTTGAGATATCTCATCCCTAGCTAGCTGTATTTGGTTTGGAAAAGCTGTTACCGCTTGTGGGAGGTGAGTTAAAGGGGCCACCTGTCTCCAAATCATACCCCACACAAGTTTAATGGGCGAAAGGCCTCGAGATCTAAAAGGCCAATGGAAGGAGGCTGACTTGAGCGTTATCGAGATATTTTTTCTTTATACTCCAACTACCACGAAGGCCTAAGCACCCATTGGGTACCGTGGGGCTATGGGGGATACATGGGAAAGGCGGGGGGGGACGCCACACGGACTCTGGCGAGGGAACACGTGTGCATGCAACATGCACACATTCTGGCTCCGCCTACGAGAACCGCCGGGTGGTACCTCCGCGTTCGACAGTCAGAGACCATCTACCACCTACGGACAATCACAACATCCATGGCCAAGAGAAACATTTCTCCTGGGACGAGACTCGAGCCCGCACAGCGCACGGCGACTGATCAGGAGACCGAAGAGTCTACTACTGCGGTCACCGCTGCTGCCTAAAACAAACACACAACATCCATGGCGAAGGCGAGATTCGAACTCGCGGCCCGGCCGGCCGGCTGATCAGTAGCACGACACTCTGACCCACGCGGCCAACCGAGGTCCCCATTTGTAGCTTATCAGTATTTAAATACGATGCTTAAGCCACCTCTAGCTTGCATTAAAAGAGGTATGAGGCCATAGCAGTCCACCCAGAAAATACTAGAACATCGTCGTTTATGATTTTTCTAAAAAGAAACCTATTTTAAGAGGCTATGTCAAGTCTGCTTCCTAGATCCTCCAGACCACTCGCCAATGGTACATATGTGGGCTTACCTCAGCCTGCGCAGACGCTAACAGCTTTTCGGAACCAAATACGGCTATCTTGGCATGAGATAGCTTATGAAGAAAAGACATGTAAATTGGGGCTCGTAACTCTCTTCTGGAGGAATCGAACCGACAAGTCATCACTGTTCAATTATTACAAGAGCATTCGCTGATAGAATCAGCATGTCGACAGATGCACTGCTGGTGGTAGCTGGTATCAAAGGTGGTGCATGATCCAGGAGGCTGATCCCATATATTAAAACTTTGACTTGACAGGGAAACGGTTCTGCAGAGTTCCTCACAGGACATTCTTGTTTTGACAGCTACCTGAAGAGGCTAAGAAAGAGAGAGTACGCGAAGTGCGTATATTGCAATAAAGAGAAGGGTACTCCTAATCACCTATTCGAATGTGGAGTTGACTACCAGACAGCGGGCATTTAATGCTGATACAGGAGAACAAAAATAGATCAAGGAACCAATAGTAGCTTCCTATTTTCTTGGTTGTACATGGACATGAGTAGGTACAAATGTATGCATGTATGTGTACGATGGAGAGTAGGTATGAAAACCTAGCGCAACGGTACCCTACTGTTGGGTTTGAACAGCGGCAAGAGAACTTTTTGTGAAAGTGTACCTGCCCCCAAAACATTTTGAAGAGCAGGGGAAAGCAATTTTTTTTCTCGAGCAGGGACAAGTCCTAAAAATCCTTAAAATTGTACGCAAAATTATGCTAAATAGGCAAAAAGGTCCAATCGATTCCCAAGGAGGCCAAACTTACACTATCCGACCCCTGCCCCCTTGCGGGTGCCCATGCATACATCTCAGTCAAGCCTTTCGATGAATTTCTCTAATCTAACATTGTCTCGAGTAACTTGTACTATTTCTATTTTGGAACTGGAATAGCAAATAAATAGCAGACGGTAAGACCGTGGCACGACTATTTACTTGTAGAGAATTAAGGTTACAGTGACTATTTCTCGCGTAGTCCGTTCGTTTGGTGGAGTATTTGAACCAAACAATTTGATTAGTGTTGCATCTGAAAGGTATTCCGTTGTTTTGTGACTGATCTATCTTCATGTTTTGATGGCCCTCAAATAAAACCACAGAGGTAGACGTGTTTCTTAACGTTCATTTACTTATTTCAGCAAAAGATGGAGATTGAAAGATGCTTATTAAGGACATGATTCCTTCTTCTATTCGTCGTTGTCTGTCAAAGCGGTCCGTACGACCTTTGCTCTTGGTTAAAGTATTGTAAGTCAATAATAGGTCTGTCAGGGCTGGTGGCCCAGATACCGGACAAAGTACTGGAGAATGAAGGGAAGAAGAAAGAAACGGGTGAGGGAGAGCAGAGAAGAAAGAAGTATGTCTGTTTGAACGGTGTCGTGGCATTGCTAACTAGGGTTCGAGAATTTTAAATTGTTCCTGAAATTAATTTATAGATTGGTTGTTGAAGAAACATTTGATTTTTGGATAGACCCAAAGTCGCACGATTTATTTTTTTGCTTTTGTGCTTGCGAACTTGCTCGACTCTGTAGTCTACTGGATGGCGCACTAAAGTGTTGCTACACGATTTCGCTTGACTACAACGATGTCAAGGTGTCTGTTAAGGGTCACATTGGATACATATAATGGGGCGTTAGTGATTCTACGCAAGGTTCTGTTCTGCAAAACCTGAAAAAAGCGTTTTGGTGAGAGAACACCAGGCCGCACATGTGTAAGTGACCGATGGTCTAAGAACAATCTTGTATGGCCTAACTTTGTTGATCAAACTTAATTTTGAGGGTCTATGTAGCATAGGATAGAGTTGCCGAAATGTGATTTGGAATTTAGTTTTTAACGCTTCATGAACATTATTTCTTGAGAGAGGGTTTTCTATAAAAGTGATATGCTTACTGTGAATAAAATACCAAGTGTAATAGATCCCAAAAAAATGTTTCATTGGAAAGCTTCATACATAACAGAATTTCAATACTAGACGAATTTGACAGTCTTGGTCAGTTCAAGACGATGACTGACTAACATATTTGGGTTCTCTGCTCGTCTGGTTCACAAAAAAAATAAGTATTTTATTTAACTTACGGGGAGATGTTCTTGAAAGGTATATATTGCCATGATGATTTGTCAAACCAAAGAGTAGATGTACAGTTAGACAAGGCGAATAATTTAGATAGAGATATGCTTTTCAAACCTAAAACATGGCGTCAATACAACAGCTGATGTCGTCTAACCACGTGTTGTCTTGTCGAGAGATGCATGCGGTGTTGTCAGATAGATAATCCTTTTTGGACGAACTTATTGTCCATCATTTTTTGCAATAATGCAATTTTGTGTTTTGCCTTTTTGGGATGTATTTGTGAACAGCCCTAGTCTATAGTTGAAAAATATGTTCAAAATATTCCGTTACTACCAAAGTCGCTGTTGGACACAGAATTTCTAGTTGAGGAGGATGAAAAATAAATATTTCTATAAAATTATATTTTGCTGAAACAGAATATGCATATAGAACACAGTTCAGCTCTCAATTTACTCTGGAATAAAAGTTAACAGACAGTAAACATTTTAGCATGTAAGCCCCTGTGATGTATCATAAACAGTTTTTTGTTAAGTTTTCTATGGACAAGAAATGTGTGCGGAAAACTTTCTTGCGAACCAAACAGATTTTTATAACCTCTAATTTTTCAACTATTTATTTATACTTGTAAGAAAGCTATAGTAGAAAGTCTCGGTACCTATGGCTCAGAAATATGGGAGATGACGAAAAGAAATAAAGAGAAATTAATGTCCCTGGAAATGGATTACTGGAGAAGAAGTTGCAAAATTTCCAGACTAGAACATGTTAGGAACGAAAGAGTTAGACAAATTATGGGAGTAGACAACAACATTTTAGAAATAATAGATACAAAAAGATTCCTTTGGTATGGTCACCTTCAACGTATGGATAACACAACGTGGATAAAAAAGGTCTATGAATGGGTACCACGAGAGCGTCGCAAACATGGTAGACCTCCAAGAAGTTGAAGGCAAGATGTTGAAGTGTCCATGATGTCCAGAGGGGGACTGGATGGACCGAAAGATGGGGCGTTAGAGAAGCGGGAAACGACAGTAGTCGTAAAAAAGAATATATATATATGTATATATATATATATATATATATATATATATATATATATAAGAAAGTGCCATAATATTCGCTTGACCATATAATCTTAACTTTTTAGAAGCATTCGATACATTAAATTTAAAGATAGGGAAAGTAGTTTTCGCAAGACTGCAAGAGACTTGCGGGTATTGGTCTTGCGGGTCAAATCTTGGTCTTGCGGGTCAAATCTTCGTCTTGCGGGTTAAATCTTGGTCTGGCGTCTTTCAAAGCCCCAGGGGCAGCTCACAGACCTGCGTTTTTTTAATTTTCCTCATCCCCCTAAAATTTTCTCTCGACATCGCCAAGCCATCAATGAGCGAATCGTCAAACCAAGAGCGGGTAGTTCATAGATAGTTGCGTCTTTGATTTCAACGCAATGCAGGTCATACCCAATGTCACTGAAACCGACAGACGGCATATCTACTCTTTGGTCAAATTTCTTGTTTATGGAATGGCCATCATTAAATGTTGTAAGCATATAAATAAGCACAGTACTACGAGGGATTTCATTTAAGTTTTGCATATGGAAATAAAACAACACGGTATTTAGTTCCAAATGACTTTATTGTTTTTCGAAGTATTCTCCACGAAGATTAATACACATCTGCATGCGCTCGGACCAATTTTCGAAGCACTTAATCCACTCGTTTGCTGGCAGATCCAAAACGGCATTTTTGAATGCGTCAACTGCTTCTTCTGGTGAATGGAACCTTTGACCACGCAGTCTGTTTTTAATTTTCGGGAAAGTAAATAAATCGTTCGGACTTAGATCGGGACTATATGGAAGATGGTTCAATAATTCCACGTTTTCTTCCGTTAAATACTGCCTTGTTTTTTCGGCTGTGTGCGAGCTTGCATTGTCTTGGTGGAGGATGATTCTTCTTTCGTGGTCGATTTTTCGAAGCTCGGTGATGACTTTTGGCAAACAAATGGTGGTATAGCAATCCGTAGTAACAGTTCTTTGCTCATTAAGATCAATTGTTGTAATATGACCCGCTTTTGACACAAATGTCGTGACCATCTTTTTCGAAACACTTCGAGAACGGATGACTTTTGTTGGCTTTTCTTCACCTTGGAACACCCAAACAGCCGACTGTCGTTTATTTTCTGGTTCATAACAGTAAATCCACGATTCATCACGACTAACAATGCTGTACACATTTTTGAGTTTCCGGAATTGAAACGGTCAAGCGTTTTTTGACACCAATTAACTCTGGCTGCTTTCTGCTCTTCAGTCAACAGGTGGGGTATCCAACGAGAAACTAATTTTCTTACTCCTAATTCTTCTTGTGATTCTTTTTGAATTGAGGTCTTTGAGATCTTCAAGGACGCCTCAAAATCGCGATATGTCACATGTCTATCTTCAATGATGAGTTTGAGCACAGCATCGACGTTTTCCTGGGTGACTGCCGTTTTTGGTGCACCCGCCCTGGGATCGTCGCTAAGACTCACCCGTCCACGTTTGAATTCTTTATACCAACGGGTAATTGTCGACTGATGTGGCGCTTCGTTGCCGAAAACAGATAGTAACTCAGCAAGGCATTCTTGTTAATAATTGTATCTGAAAGTTGTAATAAATTATGGCCCGAAAATGTTCTCGGTTGAGTTCCATTTTTCTAACGACTTGATGACACTTAAACATTCACTGTAGTGAGAACACTGCACGTATTGTTGTGAAACTTTGAATTTAAGTTTACTAAAGAGAGAGGTTAAGATTCAGTACTGACGTTCGTTCCGCGC